GTCTGTGTGTGTGTAATTTCACCCGCAAATAATATAAACAGTAAAAAATGTAGCTTTAAATACAGTTGACATGAATTTATCTTTTCTTTACTTTTATTGCTATATTTTTCCTGCCTTCTAATATTGCCAAATTGGTTCTTGTCTAACCTCAGCAATGGGACAGTTAACAACACCATACAAAACTGACACCTAATTGAATGTCAGCAAACACTATGGTGACATTAGATTAGGTGTCAGCTTTGTATGGTGTTTGTGCAAGGAGTACTCATGTGTTTTACCCCAGAGTTCATTAGCCATCAGTAGATGCTGACCAATTAAATATTTCTTGTTGTCCTCATTTATTTTTAGGGAAATTATCTAATACTGTAGACAGCATTATGTTTCCTGTAGGTGAGTATTTGCTTTGTATAAGAATGATTTTTTTAAATTAAAGTTATAAAGAGAGCAAGTTTCCCTGTTTAACATACTTACTCTTATAAAATTCGAAGTTTATGAGCCTAATGTGTGAGGAAACATCTGGCTCTCTCACTCAGTGTAAAACAAGATGGGATCCCCCAGCTTCCTTCCTGTGTTTATTCCATGGGCTTAATGACAGTGATCTACAGTAGAAGTCCCATGGCAGGAGGATGTCTTTTTCCCTGTCTCTCAGATCTTTTTCTTTACTATCTGACTTAGAAACGCACGCTGTATGACTATATTGACACAGAGATCACAGCTTCCCAGCGTACATGCCACAAAGAACTCAAAGCTGTTTATAATCCATGTGGAATGTCAGCTGAGAGTGGGAGACTGTGAGGGGGAAGGATTACTCTGCACACACAATTTGTCATACAGTAAATAGAGATACACTAAATAAGTGCTAGAAATTTTATTTGGTTAACTCCCCAAAAACAGGCCAGTTGCTGCTAGTAGCCTCCCAAATGCACAGATTTTACCTTCTTATAGCCTATTTCTTTAAATTTCCTATTCTGGGGTTTTGGATTGTTGGTCATTCCTTATTTGAAGATGGGTTCTGAACATGTGATGGGCATGTTTAGAGTTTATAGAGTAATGTGAATATGCGTTAACCTTGAAATAATTTGCATGCATAGCCTATCAAAGGTGGAAAGAACCTGCGTTGATTAAACACATTTTTGTCATGTTAAAAAAACAAAAGTGTCAAATTTAGCCTTTCCGCAGGTGCACCATATATACTGGTAACTTATTTCCGAAGTAAAGGGAAGTGTAAAAATTATTTAAAAGCTTTTTTTTTAGGGCCCCCTCTGTAGAAATGGGCTATCACAGAGGAAGTAAGGGGAAGGCTAACGATTATCTTACGACCACCTCTGTGGAAATATCACAGAAGAAGGAAGGGGAAGTTCACACACACAGACACACAGACAGACAGATAGAGGGGGTTTCACGGCAGCCTCCTCCAGCTGTGCAGCGCTCAAAAGCTGCAGCAGCTCTCTCTGTCCTCCAGAGGCGATGCTGGAGTTTGGAGAGATGAGTGGACGGCGCAGAGCGCAGCTGTCATGCCGCGCACGGGCTTAAAATAGACTCAAAGTTTTTTTACATTTGGCAATAACCTGCTGTTTTCACCTGCTGTCCGACAACATGGAGTACTGGAGGCAATGTGCGATGTGGCTGATCAGCTGCAACGTGCTGCCCGCGAACCACCGGGTGACTGCGGACACGGCGCAGGTGTTCGACCTGGCGCAAACCCTGCGGGACGGGGTGCTGCTGTGCCAGCTGCTCAACAACCTGAGGCGTCACACCATCAACCTGAAGGAGATCAATCTCAGGCCGCAGATGTCACAGGTAGACCAATCCTTTCAGAGCAACTTGTGGTTGTAATACGCGCAGAGGAACTGCAAAACTGCTGTGAAATCCAAGTTAGTGTCGTCAGAGATGAATGAGTTTTAAAAACATGCCTTAATAGCTGCGATGTTAGATGTCAATGTAAGTTACTTTACTGAACAATCAGGCGCCCTACAATCCAATTTAACCCTACAGTGAAAGAAGCCAACTCATATTGCTTATGAACACTGACGATAAAATGTGTGGCGTATGCATGAAGTAGGTAGACGTCAACAAAACAGCTGCTTTTCAAGAAATGACTAGGTGATAAGACTAAAAGCAAGTCCACATACGGACTCTAAACACACCACCACAGAAGAAGAGTAGAATTTATGTTTGCAACAACCCAAAACACCTGCAGGGAACAACACTTTTGGATACAGACACTTAATTCCAGGGTGCTTAACAGTTTGATGCAGAAGTATGGGTGGATTTTTTCACATTAGTGAAAACAGCAGTACATTGAAGTCCAGAATCTGGGAACATATAGACCCAACCTTTTATCGTCTATCACTGTGTCAACACTGACAAGTGTTTCTGCAAACATTATAGAAAATAAAGCCACAGAGTGACCTCTGACTCATTTAGATATGTGATATGGACACGTCTTCATCTTCTGCTTCCTCTAAATATGATAACTAATCCAGACAGGTTTATTGCGTACCTTTCTGTAAGTCTGTATCTTTTAAACCTTAATTTAAGCAATTGAAACTCTTTTTGATTAACTGAGGGAGTGCTAAATGTCCCTCAGCCTGTGAAACACAAATACATGGTCCAAGGCTTGACCTCTCTTTGCCCATAATTCTTCCTTCTGCCACTGGAGAGGCCTGATAAAATCCTGGCTTTGATCCACCCATTAGTCAGGGAACTTTTACTATGTGTGCAGCAGCTGGTCGTTTGCTCGCAGCTGAGTCTAAAGCCGTGTGTAGTTAGCTATTTTATAAAGTCTATGGTAGTTTGTCATTAAGACTGTGATTTTTTTTTTGTGATTTTGTGCCAGCACACTTTTGAAGAACATAATTTTTAATATCAAAGGCTGAAAGCAGATTTAATAAATAGCATAATGTAGTAAAAAGCATATTTAACTTCATATTACCAACACAAATGTGTGTAGCAACATATCTCTTTAGGTGCAAACAAACTCAGCTTGAGTCTGCTGTGGTTATGAAATACTCACTAATGATTTTCATGCGTTTTTGTAATGTGTCACCATAAGAACAAGACTTCCTGTCTACTTACTTGTACTCACTCATTAAGGCCATATTTCCGGTGATTTTATCTTTATTGATTCTTCTTAAAAGTATGATACATATGAAAAATATACTCTAGTCAGACCCTGAACACGTCTTTTTATATTTCTATTTATATACTGTCTGTCCTTTGATTGTGTTGTTATCTTGCCGAGGGTACTACACGTAATTTCGTTGTGCAATGCACAATGACAATAAAGTCTTCTTCTTCTAATGTCCACCACACTGTTTGGAATCTTTACCTATTAAGATCAAAAGACCGATTAATAAAACAGACAACGATATGAAACACACACACAGACACACACACGCAAAGTTGTAACATAAGTATGGCTAATAATGTGTAACCTGACTTCATTTCTTTAGTTTTTGAGAGATGAGCTTGAACATTTTTGATGTTGCTGTCATAAATATGATTGAAATGCTGCGTCATCACAGATTACTTAAACATAATTTAATCTAAGACACTGTTCTTAATTCTAACGTCCACAAACTGCCATAAATAAATGAAAGCATCTAGTCAAAATAACCAATTTTGCCTACAGAAATCCCATATGAAATAAAAGCTAGTTTCTTAGCCGGGCTTGAGTTGTTTTCTGCCTTATAAACTTCAGTGTCGTGTGTGTGCTCTGTCAGTGCACGTCCACTCCTTTTTTATGTTCTTGAGAGACAGTAAAAGCAAACCCAGGGCATAATGTGTTGAACAAGGGGTAGCCATAGCCTGCAGCTGTAGGCCGTCTGAATACGGTCAAGAGAGGCATGTGTGTCAGTGGGTTCCAGATTTTAAATGGCCCTTTCATTGTGCCCTGCTGACCAATGAATTTGAAACAGAAACAAGGGCATGAAGGTAATGGACTGGAGGACTGGAGGACTGGAGTGCAGTGTGCTGTCGGTGAAAATGCGCCCAGAGGTGCTATTTTTATCGTGGTGTGTGTTAGGCCTCGGTGCAAATGCAAAACAAGGAGTGTGACGGTAAAATTTTTATGTATGGATCATGAATATATGAGCACTCGATATCACCTCTGCATTTATTACATTTTTTTTATAGCGAAAGTGAGACAGAAACTGCTATTTTAAAAATCATTCAAGAGAGACTTCTGCATCAAATCAAGGCTGCTAAACATCAACATATATATGCACAAACCAGATAAGAAATAGTGTCAAAAGTTACAAAATAAAAGTTCAATATTTAGAGCATTATCAAATCAACAGAAACAGGATCCTAACCACTAAACACAGTAACAAGCAACTGTATTAACCCTCCGTCAATCATTTTAAACATCCTGCACCAAGGCAGAACTGCGCTTTGGCTTCATATTTTTCATCAGTGAAGCCAAGGACGCAGTGTTTACTCTCTAAATAGATGTGAGGAAAGTGAATATGCAGAGGGGCTGTGACTGTAATCAGAGGTATGAGGCTGGTAGTGGGTGCAAAGCCATCATGTACATGCACTTCCTCCACAGACAAACAGGGCCCCAGGGGGGCGGTGGGGTGATTACAGGCGTCTCCATGATGAGCTGATGTGATAAGGGGGGGCCTATCTATTCTCAAGAATCTGCTGTTTTTACCATAAACTATCAAACATGTAGTTTCTACTTCAGTCATCAGTCAACGTGCAGAGGGGCAAATTATAATGTTGCACTTGTTTACTGCATCTTTACTATTTGAATGCTTTACTGGGTGTTTGTTACAGGGCTGTTTGTGTGGATGGATTTGTATAACAGGCCAAAGCAGGGACCCATTAGCATAAGCACATTGTCTTCATGAATGTTTTTGACTGTACTTTTCCCACCGAGACACAGATTCTAGTAGGAAGTGACACCGAAAGAGCACATGCGTGGTGGTTTCATTTCGCACCGTGAAACTTTTCGTTTTCACTTTCAGTTTGCTGTTAGTGGTTCACCTTCACTTTTATAAATGCAACTTTAACTTCTCTGTGCTCACATTTTAGCGTTAATATAGGCTTATTGAGGTCAAACACAATTAAAGGTTTGGGTCTTTCAGGTGCTCAAAGCATTAATTATTATGATTATTATATTTTATCTTCATTTTCTGTTAAGAGGAAAAATAAGAGAAGTCATCTCCAGATGCACCAAATGTTCTTAACCATCCAAACCTGCCCTTACCCAGGTGTGCTTAATGATGAATCCCACCTGATCATAAGCAACCCATTGGCACAGGTAACGCCCCCTAAACACTATATAAGTGCAGTGTTGTGCTGTGTGCAAAGACTCTGACACATGCCCAACTGCGTGTTCCAATACCCATACTACCATACTATATAGTACGCCAGAAAAAGATTTAGTATGTCCCAATACATTGTAGGTGAAATGCAGTGAGCCAACAATACCAGGATGTTCTTCTACCGCACATTGACTGAGGTTGACAGCTGTCAGAAGTCGCTATGATGGATGACATCGTATTCAAGTAACTGATGACCAGTAGAAAAGTAATACTAGGAATACGGACTGTTTAAGTGAACAAAATAAATATTACAAACAACAATAGGACACAACTATGGAAATAACGTTAAACATAATGTTAAACTACATACATTGCAAAGCATCAATAGTTCTCCGGATTGATCTCTGTCTCTGGCAAACGCGGTGAGTGGCATTTGTTTTATCTCCGAGGTAACGGATATAAAAGCAAGAGGGTCAAAGTTCACGGCATGTTATGAGAAAGTAGTATGTCCCGACTGTGTGCATACTGGATGCAACAGTACATACTTTTGAAGGGCAGCTGTAGTAGATACTAAAAATAAAAATAAAAAGTATGCAATTTGGAACACACCCCAAGACTTGAAGAGATGTCACCACAAAAAAGGCTGTAAGAAGAAGAAAAACTTAAGCAGCAGTGAAACTGATGTGCTGTTAAATAAACTTAAGAAAAGTAATGTGATATTTCAGAGTGTCTGCTATGGTGTTACAGGAAAATCTGTACAGCAACGTTCAAACGTGTGATGCTGTAAATGACATGCCAGCTGCAGTGGTGGTGGAAGTTTTCAGATTGTTTACGTTAGTGAAAGTACTCACACCACACTGTAAAAATACTCTGTTACTGGTAAAAGTCCAAAAAATGAAAGAATACTTCGCACATCTATTTTTATAACAGGTGCGTAGGAGAAGGACGAGAAGAATAAAGCTCGTAGAAGACACTCCCACATGCTGTCTAACCTGCAAAAATAATGATTTTAATGCTGCAATGTTTCAGTGACTAGACTTTCATCATCTTATTTAAGTATTAAAATCAAATAACTTGATGCAGAAAAATTTAAATCAATGTAATAAATCAAAAATACTTAGAATAATTATAAGTTCTCTCATATTTAAAAATTAGATAAATAAATAATAATAATTGTCATGGAGTAAAACGTACAATATTTCCTTCTAAGTGTAGTGGAGTGGATGTAGAAAGTGACATGAGATTAATATACTCCAGTAAAGTAAAAGTACCTCAGGTTGTGTCAGAATGAAGTTTCTCAAATATACAACTTGTGTTTTCTTGCATTGGACAAAGACTTTATTAATTTATAATGTCTATATTTTCATACATTTATGAACACTTTTTTTTCTTTAAATTTTGGTGAGGGTGCTCTCAGCCACTCATAAAATGTTCTCTTACCTAACTAACTGAGAAACAGGTGGCACTTTGTATGTTAGCCTCAGCCACCAGTGTGTGAATGTGTGTGTGAATGAGTGAATGTGACTCGTAGTGTAAAAAGCGCTTTGTGTAGTCAGAATACTAGAGAGGTGATATACAAGTGCAGGTCTATTTAGTTGAAATGAAAACTGTTGTGTGACACTGTTTCTGTGAAGAAATTTCAGGTTTGCAATAATGCAGTGCTGTGAGCGATGAGAAATCTGAGACACAGCCTTCTCAAAACCTGGGCTGTTGTAATTTGGATGAACACACCCTTTAATTTTACTTCAGGCTCAGGTGGCGGCACTCAAAGAATACTACTTTTGAATAAATGAACAATTCAATTAACCTTTTGTCCCTGCGCAGATATCCGTAAATGCTACAGACAAGTGATACTAAATTAATAGCCTTCAATGTTTTTCTTTGCAGTTCCTGTGCTTAAAGAACATCCGCACATTCCTAATGTCTTGCAATGAGGTGTTTGGGATGAAGAAGAGTGACTTATTTGAAGCCTTCGATCTCTTCGATGTTCGAGACTTTGGAAAGGTACCGACCACATCCATCGCTCTGTTTCTCTGACACAACACGATAAAACGCATGATGATATTCTCCAACACACGAATTTCCTCTCTTCTGATCTCCTTTCCTCTTTTAGCTGCCTTCTTCTCTAGTTGCAATGACATATGAAAGTCTTTAAGCTTTTCAGGATATCACACATTCACAAGCTGGTTTACAAGGAAATTAGTTTGAGTGAGCAGGTTGTCTGTAAAATTCTATTACAGCTGAGTGATGCCGATGGTGATGCTTGTGCCGTCTGTCCTAATGATAGTGCATTTTACAGTTTCTCTTGTTTGTTCAGATTTTATAGTCAGAAGAAAGGGGCAATTGGTGACACAAACATTCAAACTGTGTTACAGTTTGCAAAACAGAGTATTGTATTGTCAAAACTCTTCTTATGTAAAAAAAAAAAAAAACCACACACACACAATGGGTTCTAAAAACAAAATGTAGAAAAATAGTAACACATCTGATTGCCTGTATATCCAGATATACATTTAGGATACTTTGAGGAATGTATGCCATGTGTCCACCCATTGCCTGGTCTTGCATTTTTCTGGTGCACTGGGGAGGGATTGGTCAACTTCTTTTTATTGCTGTGTTATTGTGGGAGCTGGTTTCTGTGTGTGTACACAGTGTTACCAGGTCAGTGGGTTTGTAGTGCGCTCCTCCTAGCTACTCAGTGGACTCTCGCTCGCAGCACAGGAGCCTGATTTAACTCAGCTGAAGAAAGCACACTGAGCAGCCTTATTCCCGCATTTCCTTACTTCAGTGCATCCGGTGCATAACTTTGCCTCGGAGCAGTATGAGCTGTCTAAGCTTATCCATGGGGTTATCCACAGGGAAATATAATATGATTTGTTTTGAAATGTATTTCCTTGGTTTTAATCAGTGCTGAGTATATGTATTTGATAATTTGGTACATCTAAAATACAGAAGATTAAGTCTGCACAAGCGTTAACAACATTTCAAATGGATTTAATTTGGGTAAACTGCTCTCTACTAAACCACCACTATAATATACACAATATTTTCTTTTTCTTTATGTACTGTATCTAACTTTAACATAAGGAACCCTCCTGTGTTTGTCCTTTGCATATCTCCAGAACCATTCACTCAATCTACTTCACACTGGCAGGTGTATTACGTGGGACCCAAATACATGCACAGTCTAATGTGATGCAATTTGGATGCAATCAATATTAATAAACTTTGAATAAACAAGCAGCCAGCGCTCTGTGGGTCTGTGCAGCAGTGGAGGCGGGGCTTCAGGGCTTTACAGACTAGATAAATGAAACGTCCGACTATTCAGCAAATAAAAATGTTTACAGCCTGGTTAAAATCTTTTTTTGTTTTGTTTCTGTAGCTAATTTTAACACTCATGACTAGGGATAGACCGATATGGATTTTTTAGGGCCGATGCCGATACCGATTTTTTTCCATCACCCTTAGCCGATGACCGATTATGGACTGCTGATTTTCTTGAGCCAATATTTGGGGCCGATGCTGCTTTTGCTCCCTCTATTTACATCAAAAAAATGACACAATGATAACAAATATTACAGGTCTCAAGTTTAAAATAAGAAACATTTATTGAACAGTAAAAAATACTAAAACAAGATGGAAAGTTGAGGTAGAACAGGTAGAATATTATTATTATTATTATACATTCAAATAAAAAAAAGAGTTCAGTGCTCTTAAATCTTCCAGTAATGTCTTTATAAAATAAACAAATATTTAAGCTGAAGCATAAATAAAACAACAACTACTGTACACAGTAGGATTCGCTGCATGTGCGCTGCAGGGTCTTCCGGCAACACAGAGCTGCCCGTGGATGCCTGTCTGTAAATCATGCCAGGGAAAAATAAATCCGCGAATCCACGAGCGTATCGGCCGATGCCGATACAAGTAAAAAACTCAAATATCGGCCCGATATATCGGCCGGCCGATGTATTGGTCTATCCTTACTCATGACAACTGTACAGGGGGTAAATCTTTATTTGACTCACCCAAAAACGAGATGGCTACAGCTGAAATGTTGAACTTGATGTTTCAAAATGGGAGTACACAAACTAATTGGTGATGTCATGGTAACTACATCGCTTATTTTATACAGTCTATGTTTATAACTGCGGTGGTGCAAACTGAGTTTAGCATATCTTCACCTACCTAAAACCTCAATTAAAAGCCTAGTCCCAATTAAACACCTAGTCCCTTGTTTTGGCCTGGTGTGGCTACACATTTTGACAAATAAAGGCCTGTCTCAATTAGAAGCCTGGTCTGGTTGCCAGGCAGTTCATTATTTTTATGTAAGTTTTTTGGATGTATAAAACCCGGTTGTTAGCTACCTCAAATTATGTGTCCATTCCTCGATTACTCTGTAAGTTATTCATATTATTTTAGTATGTAAGGGTCCTCACATCAAAAGAATCAAAAGGATTTTTCATGAAAATTAATCCAAGTTGCGAGGATTGTTTTAACAGGATATCGTGGGGTTGTGTCAGTGTGCCGGGTGCTGTAAGCCTTGGGTGTCGTAACTAATATATATAAATACAATTGATTGTATTTCCCATCTTTGCTGAACATGTGTTTTATGTGAAAAGAATTAAAGGCCTGTCCCAAATATAGGCCTGTTGATTTCAGCGATTTAAGCAAATAAAAGCCCGGGCTATTCATTGAAGTTTTTAAGGTATGTCTAATCTGTAAATTTGCCATAATGTTACTGACTGAAAACAATAATTAGGTTATACTCGCAAAAACACCACACGTTCATTAAATCTACTAGGTAACCACAATGGTAATGTCAAAGCATGCAACTACTACGCCTATTAAATAGTATAGTTCACCAGTGTTTCTGACCACAAGCAGATGCAACTTGGGTGTGTTGGGATCAACATATATATTTTGGGAACATAATTTTAGGTCTCACACAGCGGCACCAAATATGTTGGGATCAATATATTAGGCCTCACATGGGGCACCAAATATGTAGGGATTTAAATTTGGGCTTCACACGGAGGCACCAAATATGTTGGGATCCTGTGAATCCCAACAGGTGTGTCCTTCAGGGGCAGATTTTAGTGATTTGGGGGCCCCAACCAAGCATCATCTTGCTTTCCTTTTTACCCTTTCCCAAAGTGGGAATTTTGGTAGGCTATTTGCATAAGTAGAAGAAGTACTTATTACAAACTTATTTCTATTAAGTAAAACTAGTAACTATAAATAATGCAGGTTTTAATACTGCACAGTAAAAGTCCTGTGTTTAGATTCCTCGTGAAAGTGCAGAATGAAAGAGAGGCATTATCAGTAATATACTTATATTCAATTCTAGCATATTACTTGATAGTTTAATGAATATTCATCTAATTATACATTTCAAAATGGATTTTATTTAATTTAAAAGAGCTTAATTTAGGTAAACTCTACTAAACTACCACTATAATATCCACAACATTTTCTTTTACTTGATGATCTAAATATAACACAAGGAACCTGTCTGTTTTTGTCTGTGTGTCCTTCACATACCTCGAGAATTTACTCTTAGATACATAGAGTAAAAGAAAATATTGTGCATATTATAGTGGTAGTTTAGTCGAGAGCAGTTTACCCAAATTAAACCCTTTTGAAATGTTATATCATATTCAATATAACATTGAGGATCAGTTTGTTTTTTCCACCATTTTAGTTCATTTTTAGTAACTCTTGGACTTATCGTACTTCTATTGTTATATTTAATATTCTATTGTTCTAAAACTGGGCCCAGTGAGTGACCCTCACCCGAAGATCCCACTGGTTGTTCTGGTTGGTACTGGTTGTGAATCGTTAAAATTGTGGTTACTGTACGTAGTGTTATTGTAATTTGAAGCATTCTCTAGCACAAGAATTTCCTTAAATTAACATTTCTTTTAAATTAAATTGAATTAAACAATAATGCATCATATTTTAATTGTTATAGTTACTGAATCTGCAGTGTAACCAGTAACATGTCTCTGTCAGGTAAATGTAATTGTACAGCGTTTTCCCCTAAAGTAGAAGTAGATGTATGCTGTAAGTATCTGAGTTGCATATTCTTTGGGTGCTCTAGGGGCCTTTTCTATGTAGTTTTGAGATACAATGAACAGCAACATAATTCAATATTTTTCATATCTTATCATCTTAACGAAGCTGTTTGGGGCCCTGGCGTATTGCTTAGGACCAAAGGAAGGGCAGTGCTGAATAGGAAGTTGTTTCAATGAGTGGTTCTCTTGAAAGCTGCGAACAGCAACACCACAGGCCGCGCTATGGGCCTGTTTTGAACAGACATTGCACTTGGAAATTCAATTCTTTTGTCATAGCAGATATTGTATCTATTTTAAATAATTTATATGATATCACAGGTGTTTTTAGAACTCCACTTTGTTTATGTGTGAGAAAATTTGAATTACATGAATTGGTCTCCAGGCAAAATGTATCAGAAGTCCTTTAATCAGGCAAATTATACAGTATCAACATTTTTAATTCACTTCCCTGCAGAGAGCAGACAGTGGTCAGGGGCTCTCTCTATACGTGTGAGGGATTGCTGGGCTTTGCGTGCAGTTTCCCCACATAGACTCTCTTTTCTTTCAGTTCAGTGTGTTGTGTTCTAAAGAAGCTTCCAGTTAATCTGGTGGCTGATAATCCTGCAGGGGAGGTGCTGCCTGCAAATATGTACAGTACATCCAAGCCGGGCTGCATAATCTCAGTCATGTTCAAGAGTTGTCCATCAAACAAACAAGCTTCCGGAGGGAGAAGATTGTGCTGCATCATTACTTTTTTTTTTCCTCATTAGTTAAAAATACGGGTGTCTGCAGGTTCAGCCACTGGGGTGGATTGGCTCCAGGGAGGGTTGTACGGCCGAACAAGCAAATGCTCAATCTCTTCCTTATTTTCCAGAAAACATCCAAAAGAGAACATCTCAAATCTCAGCCACTCTAATCCACTCGGTTTGAGTTGTGCCAACTCTGCCCGTA